CGGGTGCAGACCAGTCAGATGTTTCAACCAAAAACCATGCCGTTCATCTTCACCTGGTGTTGACTAATTCTTGATCTTGCCCTTTTCTCTACCATTTCTGCTGTTATTACAAGTTTTTTCACTTCAGCTTCTTTTTTATTCTTATCCATTACCTGTATCCATGCTGCATTCTTGTTGTATTTCTTTGGATATTATTATTATTATTATTACTATTACTACTACTACTACAGGTAGTCCTCGACTTACATTCATTCAGTGACTGCTCGAAGTTACGACTGTACTGAAAAAACAGACTTACAACTTGTTCCCAAAGTACAGCCAATGCGGTGCCCCCGTGATCACGTGATCAAAATTCAGGCACTTGACAGCCGCCTGCACTTATGACTGCAGGGGCACTTCAACTCCCCGCACCTGCCTATCTCCCCCAATCTCTGCCCTTTTGGCCACCCTGCGCCTTGCCTTGCATGGTGGCAAGTGGCCCCAAAACTGCATGTCTCTGGGACTGCTTACTACACTGCAGCTCGGGGCTTCTTGGAGTGTCACAGCTCTGGGGCTGCAAGAAGCCCCTGAGCCATAGTGCAGTGACAAGCTGCAGTGCCTGGGAAGCACCAGCAAGCATTCGTTGGCCCAGCTGCCTTCTCTCCCAGTTCCACACACTGACCTTTCACCTTTTGTGCTCAGTCGCCCCAGGAAGCGCCAGCAAGCTACAGCACCTGGGAAGTGCCAGCAAGCATTCGTCCACCCAACTATCTTCTCTCCCAGTTCTGCGCGGCACAAATAAGAATATCAGCCAATGGGGAAGGCAGGAAGTGGTTTTGCCCAATGGGAGCCACATGTTGGAAGATTTGCCAGAGAAGATAAGTCAACCCCTGGAGCTTTCCCATTGGGCAAAACTGCTCCCTGCCCTCCCCACTGGCTGATATTCTTATTTGTGCTGCACTGCTGGGCCAGGCTGAGGAGCCACATGTAGGAAATGTTCACTGAAGAAGCTGGGTCCAAAAAAGAGACAGCAAATGCAGCAAGGCACTTCTGATTTGGCTGCGGTGGCTGGGTGCAAAAGGCGAAAGGTCAGCGTGGGGAACTGGGAGAGAAGGCAGCTGGGCAAATGAATGCTTGCTGGCGCTTCCCAGGTGCTGTGGCTTGCTGGTGCTTGCTGGTGCAGCTGAGGGTTCCAGGGGCAGCTGCGGCTTTGCACTGCATTGTGGCTCAGGGGATTCTTGCAGCCCCAGAGCTGTGGTGTGCCAAGAATCCACTGAGCCGTAGCATAGCACACAGACCCAGAGCTGCATGGTTCTGGGCTGCTTCCTGCCCCACAAGGCAGGGTACAGGGTGGCCAGAAGGGCAGAGGTGGGGGAGATAGGTGGGTGGGGGGAGTTGAAGAAGAGGCAGTCCCTTAACTTACTGGGGCTCAGGGCTGGGAGGAACCAAGCCTGGAATGACTTAGATTGGGGTGGGTCCTCAGCTAACGACTGATGGAATTTGTTTAACAACGGCAACAGGGAGTGCCAGGATTGCAGTCGCTAAGTGATGTGATCATGTGACGTCTCGATTTATGACCACATTGCTTAACAACAGAAATTCTGGTCCCAAGTGTGGTCATAAGTTGAGGACTACCTGAATTAATGTTGGAGAATACGCAAAGATGATTATGATGATAATCTCTGTCCTTGCTTGTTCTGCAATTTGACTTTTAATCAAATGAGGGGAAAATGCAACTTTTCCCACTTCTAAGTTTTGAAAACTCCTACACCCAACATGCCAGGAGCGCTAAGAACTATATTTCCCAGATGCCTCATTTGCTTTCTGTTATATTATACTAAATACGATTTCCGGGACTCTTGTATTTGTAATCTCCTATGACAGAAAAAGAGATTCTATGTTATTAATCCATTAATACTATTATTAATAATCCATTACATTAAGGATTATTTTATTCAAATTTTGTTAAATTTCCATTTCTTAACCACATAAGTGAACTAATTCCTAACAGATTATCTTCATCTGTACAAATATCTTTTGGGCAGACCTACTCAACATAAACCTTTGAATTTCTCCTTAAGATTACCTATGTATTTTTGTTTCAGTACAGGTAGTCCTCGCTCACCAACTGCAATTGGGACCAGAAACTCTGTTACTAAGTGACACAGTCGTAAAGTGAAACATCATATGACTGCACCGGACTTATGTCAATTCCATTGCGGTTAAGTGAAAAGTCATATGAACGCGACTTGTGACTTTCTGCCAGCTTCCTCATTGACTCTGCTTGTTGGAAGCTGGCTGTGAAGGTTGCAAATGGTGATCACATGACCACAGGATGCTGCAACTGTCATAAATGTGCACTGGTTGTGAAGCAACCAAATCATGATCATGTGACTGCAAGGATGCTGCAATAGCCGTAAGTTCAAGGACTGGTTGTAAACCTGCTTTTTCAGCACTGGTATAAGTTTGAATGGTCACTGAATGAGGCAGTCGGTAAGTGAGGATTACCTGTACTCCCAAATTTGCAGGGAAGACATACCATTTTTCCACTGATGATTTAAACAACATGTGTGTATCATAAAAAAACAAAGAAAAAATATTTCCTTCCTGAACCCAGTGGCACATCAGCAAACACAAGGTAAACTAATAGATGGATGGAAGTTTCTGAAGAAACATGGAAGTGTCAGAGTAAAAACAAGCTGAAGTTTTTTTCTGTTGTTATGATTATGATTGTTATCACCACGAACATCAATAGCTCCATTTTTTCTAAACCAAATTTTTGAATGCTTCAGCATCACCAAAAATGGTCAAGAAAGACTGATAAGCGAATAAATCAAGGACAGAAGTTTACTTACGTTGTATCCAGGGTCTGGTTGATTTTAGCTATTAATCCCAGTGAAGGATCTATTTTCGCATACATTGTTGACATTACTCCTACTACGACAATAAGCCAACTGGACGGGCTAGCAGGATAGACTCCTGTGATTATGCCATTCTGAAAAGGCAAGACATCTATACTTAATGTTTTCTGGAAACATCATTTCATTTTCTCAAGAGAAACTTTCAAGGAATGGACCCAGCATACAGGAAGACATAACCATATGGATGCAATCTGCCTTGCAATATTTGCCTTCTTTATAGATCTGTATTATACCCTGTTAGAAAAAATATTTGCTGGAATGGGAAGAAGAGGGGGCTGATGCAATGGAAATGGATGAATACTGCACTGCTGGATAGTTGGCAATTTTGGAATTTACAGAAAAATAGCAGAAAAGCTGAAATCTGCATAATTGTAAGCCAACTCACCAACTAAGGAAAGGATGGATATATACTGCCCTGAAAAAATAGACCATCCAAAAAGATGTTACACACAGATACTGTTTTCTATCATTTAAATGGACAGCGTGAAGCAGAAATTTCAGTGGAAAGAGGGTAGAGGAAAACACTAATGCTTGTCAGATCCTAATGTGAAGGTAAAGAAATATAAAGACACAAGGGGAACCTTTAAAAAGTATCTTGAAGCGTAATAATTATGTCTATAATCTCATTTTTCTTCCATAGAATTTAAAATGGCAGAGATGCGATTGTCTACAACTACTCCATAAGGTAGCTGATTAATAGATGGAGAAGAGTTAAAGAACTCTGTAGAAATGTCACATTTACACAGGAAACATGGATATGCAGCACTGGTTGTTTGTTGCATGCTCTGCCCCAAGTATAAATCCAGGTCTATCTGCATTACCTTGAATCTGATGAACTTCTTCTTCCAGGAATAGAGACCAGACAGATAGATCTGCCTGAGCGCTTCATGGCTCATGCGCAAATCGATTCCATCTGGTGTTACAGTAAACTGAAACGCAACTGCTTGATGGGCTTCCGCCATCTTAAAATGTATCTGCCAAGTGAAAGAACAATTTTTAAAAAATCAGTAGCCATTTACTTTGCATGAGATATTAAATCAGAAACAAACAAAAAATAACATAACTTAGTGCAAATTAATGCAGATCAAGTATTTGCCATCTTGTTTTTTTGCAGGTGTTAAATACTACATGAATATTACTCTTTTCTTAATATTTCAGTGGAAACAAAGACATAGTGACTCTGGGTGGCACACAGATAAAAATTAAAAGTAAACAAAGTATATCAAGAAAAAAGACAACTAACTGGAGACAAAACCCCAAAAAAGTCAAACAGCAAAACAACCAATTGAAGGGGCTCAACCGCCATCCTATCCCAAGGCTGGGGAGAATATCAGGACTTACCCAAAACATCAGGAGTCACTCCTCTTCAAAAAAACTAAAGATTTGTTAGAAGATCAAAAATACAGGTAGTCCTTGCTTAACAACTTTTCATTTAACAATGGTTTGAAGTTACAATGGCCTCAGAAAGGGTGCTTTATGGCCTGTAAAGCACTTCTGGCCGTTGTAAAACGTCACACTGCCCCCCCTCCCGCTGTCATACGGCTGCATTATGGGCGCTTGACAATTGGCTCGCATTTACAACTGGTTGCCAAGCCCCCTGCGAACATGTGATCGCCATTTGCAATCTTGTCTGGCAGGGAAGTTTGCAAGCAGAGGGAATGCAGCTGTGTACAGAAACAGAGTTCAAATCCTGAAGATATAAGCTCCGTTCCTCCAGCCCCACCAAGGATTTCCCCTCTGTTGGCAAAGGGGGGGGGACCCCTTGGCAGTGGGAAGGAACAGAGCTCAGATCTTCAGGATTTGAGCTCTGTTCCTTCCCACCACTGTGGGGGGAGGGGGAACCCCTCAGTGGCGGGAAGGAAGGGAGCTCAAATCCTGAAAAATTGAGCTCTGTTCCTCTAGCCCCAGGAAGGATTTCCCCTCCATCCACTGAGGGGAGGGCAAACCCTTTGGCAGGCTTTAGGAATGCTAGGAGTGAAAGGCCTGCCTGCCGGGAGGATTTCAGCTCTATGCAGAGCTGAAACCATCAGGCAGGGAGCCCTTTTGCCCTCAAAGAGCTGCCCGCTGGGAGGATTTCAGCTCCGTGCGGAGCTGAAATCCTTCAGACGACAGCTCTTTCACTCCATCCACTTAATGACCTGGGAGACTGCTTAATGACCGTCACTGGGAGTATCCATATTGCGGTCACTGAGCAAAACAGTCATGTGGGTGTCTTGTTTAATGACCGCTTCGCTCAATGACCAAGATTCCAGTCCAAATTGTAGTTGTTAGGTGAGGACTACCTGTATGCCCAGAATAAAAAATAACATTGTTTCATAAGTTTTAAAGCATTTTATTTATTATATACATTCAGTACCTTATTACTTAAAGTTTTTACAGTTCTTGGAAGATTTATCAATCCTAAACCACTAAGTTCTTCTAGAATAATTTCTATATCCTGGTTGACAGCAGCCCATAGCCTCCCAAGCATGCCCCTATTCATCTGGACTATAAACACATTTTCCTCCGTAACACCACAACTAATTTTCCTTCTTAAACTTTATATATCACTGTTTTATTAACTTATATTTAAGATCACTAGATGTATGTTTCATCACTACTTCCTCAGTTACACGGATGCAAGCTTGTTTTTCAACCAATTCAAAGGGCTAATATTTACTTTCAAAGGGAAGAGGACAAGTTCCTTGAAAATATTTTTTCCTACCAAACCGTTACCAAAGGCCCCTCTCTAAACATTTTTCCTAAATGTTACAATTAATGTTGTAAATCACCTGGGTACCTTTGCTAGGAGGATATGGGCACAATTTTGAAAAATAAATAAAGCAAGACAGCTGGCTACTGAAGAGATGGTATTTTCATAATATTGCATAATTTGGGGTAGAGAATTTGCTAGCTTGCAATGTAATTGCAGTTAATTTCCTCCTTCCAAATGTATATACCAACTGGATCCAATATATGCCAATATATTTCAGAACTTAAACACATACAAGTACACACAAAACTGCCTATGTCAAGCACAATCCATTAGATAGAGAGACAGACAGACAAATTAATGCATATGAATCTTCTGAAAGAGTTTTTAAGAATTTTCCCACAAAGCTTTTTGAAACTCATATGGAAAAAAGGAAAGAATAAGTCTAACATTGCAAAAAAAGCCAAATGAAACCAAACTGTTTCCACCCCCATCTTTAATCCATTTGGTGAAATGCTCTTCTGAGAGGCTTTCTTATTGACAAATAAAGCTCTTTTTACTTTCTAGGCTATTTTAATCATAAACAATTTTAGCTATGCTGTATTGTGTTGCTGCTGGTGATTTTATTTCAATTTAATTATTTTTTTCTTGTTTTGGTTTTCAGTTCTAATTTTTATGGCTGAAGCTTCATAAGTGTTAATAAGAGTATTAACAAAAATTATATTAGAAAAAGACAAAAAAGAACAAGTGCAGAACACTGCAGTAGGACTGGAACAGCAATAAATGAGAGAATAAGTTTCAGGTGATAATTCCCTAAGATAATCAAACATTGTATATCTTTGATTTTTCTCTATACAAAGAGTTGGAATCAGGGACAAACAAATTACTCTTGTAGACTGAGGAATTTATCACTACATAATTTATACTGAAAGGTTACTAAGAAAACAAAATGTACCTATAGAAAGCAGTCTCTCCCCCTTCAATACCTCAGTGTTATGGACAGAAGGCAATGAAGCACACATGATTCATTCCCAAGTTATACAGAAAAATGGAGGGAAGAATTGCTGTTTCAATGACATTTGTATGCAGTCTAAGATAGTGGCTTGTCTAAGATCTTTAAGTGTTAGCTTTCTAGGATTTCTGAGAGTGGTAGTCCCAGCAAACCAATAGGATAGCAAATCTGGAAAGCCTTGTTTTAAAGATTTAGCAGTTGGATTAAACACATTTCCATGCAAATTGCACATATTTTAATCTCTAGCCAGTCTGATAACAATTCTTTAACTCTTGTGTTCTTTATCTAACTACCGTATTGTTCAGTCACTTATGTATGTGTGTGTCTTCGAGTCAGGTGGCGACTGACTGGACTAGTCCCTGTAGTTTTTTTGGCAAGGTTTTTCAGAAGTGATTTGACATTGCCTGCTTCCTAGGGCGGAGAGAGAGTGACTGGCCCAAGGTCACCCAGCTGGCTTTGTCCCTAAGGCACGACTAGAACTCACAGTCTCCCGGTTTCTAGCCTGGTGCCTTAACCCCTAAACCAAACTGGCTCTTTAAAGAAATTATCCCAGGAAAAAGTGCTTCTTGGGACTCTGGTGTTTTTCTTTTATCAAAAATAAATTGTATTATTCTGTAGTATTGAAACTTCTTTTTCAAAGGAACACTTCTTCCTTCTTCCTTCTTCTACTTTAGCATGAGTCACGTTCTGTGGCAGATTTCCTTGAGCATGAAAAACACAGAAACAACTATCTCAGAGACAAGGCTTTCTAGGTGTTTCCAGTTAGTCAGATAAATAATAGGGGTAAGCAAATTTTCAAGGAGGATAAGGTAAGGGCCCAAGCGGAGCCTGCTCCTTAAGATGTCTCACAAAGCACAAAACCCACCTCTTCTGTGAGCAAATAGGAACTGCTGCATCACTTTGCCTACTTCCTCCAGAGACTCTTTTCTTTTTCTTTTGGTACCTTCAAGTCAGTGTGGACTCCTGGCAACCACCTGGACAGGTCCCTGCAATTTTCTTGGCAAGATTTCAGAAGTGGATTGCCCTTGCCTCCTTCCTAGGGCTGAGAGAGAGTGACTGGCCCAAGTCCACCCAGCTGGCTTCATGCCTAAGGCAGGACTAGAAGTCCCGCTCTCCCGGTTTCTAGCCTGGTGCCTTAGCCACTCCACCAAACTGGCTCTCTCAATCACTCATGGCCACTGTTTTAATGAATTCTAATGTTACTGCTTTATACATTTAAAGTAGCGGTTCTTTAGTAAAAACTTCAGCCTAGGATATCAAACAGCTACTATAAATGGTCAGTCTGACTTTTATACAATAGCTTCCTATCTTTCTGGTGGTTGATCTGACATTCATTCATAACTTTTTCATTAGTTATGAAAGATTTAGTAATACTTTATGAAAATCAGAATATCATTTACATTTTAGGTAAAGAAATTAGGGTTTTGACGTTAATATGGAAACTTTCTTTTACCCATTAAGTTTCAAAGCAAATGAATGACTGTTCCATTCAACCATTCAACTTCCCCATATATGAACTAGTTCCACAAGGTATTAATCTAAACAAAAACAAAAGAGATTCAAACACAACTGTAATGTTGTCTAAGAAGCATTTGCTCACTCTATAAAAAAAATAATCTCCAATTCCTTCAATTTTGTGGCTCTAATGTTATTGCTAGTATCATTCTAAATATCTGTTTTTCACAAGAAAGAACTTCAGCTTTGCTAGTCACAATTATGAAACATGATTCAACAATAAAAGCCAATCGTTTTTTTGTTTGTTTGTTTTTTAAGAAAAAAGCTATCGCAACAATTCAAATTCTCTGTTCTTTTTCAAGATCATTCTTTGGATAGCAAAAGCTGTTTCATTGTCTACTGCAGTCTTTCCCCGCCTCTACATTTCTGAAGTGGTCATGTGCTTTGTCCAGAAAACTAGGTAAAAGGCCATGGTATTACAGAGCATGCGTCTTAATTTAGAAATGCAAATCTCTCTGTGCAAGGAATGCAGAAGTGCCATCAAATCTCTCCAACAAGAGTAAGAGGAAACATTTATTATTACTGCTGACATATTATTTGACAAAGCACATGTGTTCAGACCATGCTGAGAAATAATAGAGTGAAAGAGAAAATAGAAAGCTGGTGTCTTATTTCAACATAGCTTTACAAACTCTCTATGTCTGTAACATTTATCCTATTATTAGATAATTTCTTTAGTAAATACAGGACTAGGTCATAAAGAAATAAAGTCCTACTCACAGAATGGGACCTCAGCAGGAGTATACGCAGCTATTGTTTTTCTTGGGGCCTATTCAACCTGCACGGCAAGATCAAGTAAACGCATATGTTAGTTTGGATTCAAACATCAGGACTATAAGAAAATGCACCCCCAGCAGTAGGAAATATATACTGATGCTAAAAAGAAAAACAAAGTATCCAGACTTGATAATATATGCAAATACCTGGATGACAGTGCTATTATGAAGAACAATGGTTATTTTTTAACTTGGCATGTTCTCTTAATCAATAAACTTCATACTGAATAAGTTAACTTTCTGCAGCTTCACATTTAGTACTGAGGCCCTAACATTTCATAGTCCCACATCTAGAAAAGCTGGAAAAACCATTTAAGGGTATGGGATGAAACCCATTATTATATTATTTCATCTCATACTGTCCAAAGGTTATTCACTTTCTTGATTTAAACAGGCAGCCATACTGAACTTGAGACAAAAGATCTGCATGAGGCTTCCTGCAATTTTGGATCAGGCTGCATTTAAAAAACTCAGCCCCTAATTCACTTTCTGAAAGCCAGTTTGTGCTTCTGTGAAATTAAGTGGGTTCAAATAATGGGTATAAATCAATGTGCTCAAATAATGCAAATATGTGGAATATCAAGTGCAGAACACTTAGTTTATATTCCAATTGTTTATGGAGCCTTACTTTGGGGCTCCAGAACTGCTTATTTCTTCTACTACGCAGTATAATAGTGCCTTATCTAATTTCCTCGGACCAGAAAATTATATACTGTGTAAGCTGCAACTTCTGTTTTTGTACAACTGAATCTTTCGCAAGAGCCATAATGCAATCAGAAAGAGAGAGATCCGTCCGGAGCAAGTTAAGAAATACGTACGATATGCCTAACGCACACTTTTCTCCACAACCGGTTTCATTAAGAACTTGTGATTCAGTTTATGGAGGTATTCAATATGTCATCTGAAAAGCTTTCTCAAAACAGCAAACTTCTTGAAACCCCGCCCTTCCATCGCAGCAGGGAATGATCACATGACACGCTTAGAAAAGTAGGCAAAAGGTTACGCTGATTGCACAAAACACGACCAGACTGCAAACGCTCAATTTGTCTTTCACTCTCTGCAGAAAACGGGGAAGCGCTCCGAGCATATTATGCATTCAAAAGGCATGAACAATAATTAAAAAGCAATGCAAAGTAGCTAAATTACATTCAAGCCAACACCACAGCAAATCTACCGCTTTCTTTTCCACACAGTGCTGCAAATAACGTCTTTAAATATCTACCTCAATCATAATTATGAGATCTGTATCATAATTAGTTCGTATATAGCTTTTCATAAGTAAGGCAACGGAGACTCTCTGCATTTGATACGGAAGGCGTAAATATAGGGGAGAGAGGAAGTGGCAAGAGCACTTTCTGCCACGTGTTTCTTGCCCTTCTCTAATCAGTGTGAGAAGCCTGCACAACAGCTCCTGTGCTGGTGCTCCAGGGCTGACCTGAAGCTAGAAGAGGAGATACATGGCCATCCTTGTCAAAATGTCTGATGTAGCCTCAGTTTTAGAGGATGGAGCAGCAAGCACTGGGTCCACCCCCAAGTCCTACAAGCAGCATGCCTTTTTCTGGAACCCCTTATGCAGAAGTGCCACCTGGTTCTTCTACTTGTAAAAGATCTGCCATCAGATGAATACACCCATAAATACCCAAGGAGAGAGAAGGAATAAGGTGTCTTTCCTAACTCTTCATATTTGCTGTCTGTCATACAGCCCACCCCCCTTCTCCATTCAAGAGTAAGTCATACTACATTCAAGGGACTCATTTCCATTTAAATGTGCACAGGATCAAAAACTTACATGGCACTATCCTATGCAGACTGGTCCAGAAGTAACACCTGCTCACTTCCATGCATATGACTGCAGCCCCAGACTGCAGGTATCTAAACTGTTTGAAATGAATATTTTATGAATGATATTTTAAAGTTTTCCCCTTGTAGGAATATGCTTACAGGGATTTACACTATTTCACAGATTCATAAAATCGGAAGGAGCCATTATCTTACTGAGACCAACCTTCAACTCGCTGCAGGAATCCAAATTAAAGCATGGCTGTTTAGTCTCCCCTAAATGCATCCAATAAAGGGGAACCCACCAGCTCTCTGGATAATTGTTTCTATGACTTTTATGAAGAGTTTTTTTTCCCTAACATTCAGCAGGAATCTGTTTGCCTGAAACAGGCCATTTCCCCATTAGTGACATCTGTCTTTACTACCTCTGTTCTTACTACTAAATAGCGCTGTCCTGACTTTGTGTGCACAGCACATGGTAAGACAAGCAACTGGTTGATTCCTCCAGCTGTGCTGCTCTCCCTCTTCAACAGGTCACCATCCAGCAGGAAAATCAGCCACCAGTCACAGTGCTGCAGGAGAAATGGGGCAAGTCTGACCCCAGACTCTTGTCCACCTAGGCTGTGGCACTCCTGTCCAAAGTTTTTAAATGCCAGCTCAGAATTCTGAAAGTACATAGCTGAGACACAAACAGTATCCCTGAATCTGCTACTTCAGGAACAGCTTTAGAAAAATTCTACTGAGGACATCTAAAAACATCCAAATTGTGCTGTAACAGACATTACTGCTCCTCCTCACAACAGTATGAGAATGCCTCACTAACCATTTTAAAGCACATATTGTCATAATGTCACTTCTGCCTTATTCCCAGCCCACCACAAAGGCAGCATACATTTGAATTTAACTGTTCCAGTTTAGAAGTAGTACTTTCCCTCTTAACACAAGGCTTGCTGTACAAGCAATACAGGATGACACCTCATTAAAGCTGTTGACAAAGTTAGGCTTGGAATCTGCCTAGCTTCTATCAGCCACTTGAAGCTGTTGTAGGCTTCCTCCCCTCCAGTTGCTCAGTACTGCCATCCATGGGCATTTTGGGGGGTCTGCAGAAGAGACCAAACACCTGGCTTCCCAGAGGCAGCTCAGGGACAGGAAGAAATAGATTTGGAAAGACATCATTTAGACCAGTGTTTCTCAACCTTGGCAACTTTAAGATATGTGGAGTTGAAGTAACCCTATGAAACCCTAACCCTATGAAAAAGATATGCAATAACGTATTATTGGATGTATTAGCTGACGATACAGAATATACCAAGGTCTTCTCACTCCTAAAAGAAATCACACACTTTAATATTATGTATAAGATGCTAATACAGAGGTTTTAGATTAGCTGAGAGCCATGCAGGTGTACAGAGCTTATAATACAGCCTATTTTTACAGCATTATGCATACTGGCACATTATAGCTGCAATAATTGCTTTACCAATAGCGAGCTTCACTATTCCTGTAAACTACATAATCCTGTATCTATCAAGAAGTTCCAGCATGTGTTAAAAAGAGTAAGATGAAACAATGAACATTCTGTTTGCTCATCTAGCTATTCCAGTTATACAAGAATCTCTGTGTAGTTTATGTCCATGTACCCACATTGCATAAGGCCATAAAATCAATAGTGTGGGATGAAGCTTTAGGCAGCACCTAAATTATATGAAAAGCATCTTCCTTAATCCTAAATTTCGCAGACGGCTACCTGCTTTCTCAATATCAAGTGTTGAACTGAAAGCTCAAGCATTTCTTGGCTGAAAGTCCCAACATTTCTAAAGACTTATAGGGATAGATTTACCTGTAACAATGGCATGAGATTATGCATCATATTCTATCTCACCATGCATCTATACACCTGCATGGCTCTCAGCTAATCTAAAACCTCTGTGTTAGTATCTTATGGATAATATTAAAGTGTGTGATTTCTTCTGGGAGTGGGAAGACCATGGTATCTTCTGCACTGCCAGCTAATATTTTCTCTTTCATGAATATGAAAATTAGAAACAACACAAAGAAGAACTAAAACAGTTTCTCTAAAAAAGTTACATTCATATTATGAACACTCCAGGTTTTAAATTATGTAGTACTGAATTCAAGTCATTTGTTTTCCCTTCCACTTCTGAAACCTATGGAAGAAGGTATATAGCAGTTTCATTTAAAAACAGAATAGCAGCTGGTTTCAGAAAATGTAATACTGTAATAGCATTTTCCCAATACATATTCACTTAGAAGTAAGTCCCAATTACTTGGGTATACACTCCAATTATTATGACTAAAGTGTATGCTTGTTTCATAACATTTGGTACTGGAAGGGCAGGAAGAGAAGAAAAGACAGCAAGTAAGACTAAGCAGTTTAAGTAAAAATTTATTTCTGTTTCATGCATTAAGGGGAGGATTATCATATGACTGCTTTACCCTGTAAAACAATTAAACACTGCCACAGAAAGCTTTTCAACAAAAATAACACAGTTTAACTGGATGATCTAATATTAAGCAAATGTATTTATCCTAGTGTGATAACATGTGAGTAAAAGCTTCTTAGTAGTCTTTCCTTGCTAGGGCATTTTCCAATTTAAAAATCAACACAAATGAGAAAAGAGCAAGGTGATGCTTCTGTGTGGGTTGGACTACAATTTCTACCATCCTCAGCTAGAAGAGGGTTGGTTGCTGCCTGGCAGTTGTGAAAGCTATAAACCAGGCAGGGCCCTTTGTAAGACTAGGAACAGAATCTTCATTTCACCTTCCACGCCCATTCCCGCTATGTTCTATGTTAAGGTAGGATTCCTTTCTCCACTAAAATCTCTGACCCAATGAACACGGAATCCAAAATATTTAAGTAATTCTTGGGATTATATATTCACCAATTATTTTACTGCCTTGAAATAAAAATATTCATCCAACCAATCATGTCAATTCTTGATTCATGTTCTGAATTAGGTCACCTCCAGATGTGGGATGGGCAACTGGTTCCCCTCCTAAACAAGGTCCTGAGTCTCACACATCTGGAGAAGTCTACTTTGGGGAAGGCTGAAGTAGGGAGGGAAGAGACTCTTCCAGGGGGCATACAGCCAAGGACTGGCTGAAGCGGAGGAGGGAGTAAGATCCAAATACTGATGACAGTAAATCAGCTGGGCAGAGTCAAAGTTCCTCCAAGGTACGCGCCTAGGGCTCGCGACACGTGTCTCCTTTTGAAGCGCAGACAAATCCCCAGAGGAACAGCGGGGAGAGGGAGGAGAGCTCTCATTTTTTCCGCCAGGAGCTCCGGGCTCAAGATCTTGTAGTTTTGTCGGCCCTCCTCTTGAGAACCGCAGAGCTCCCACAAGGGAAGAAACGCGCGCGCACGCAATTCCCTGACAAGAGAGCCAGGCACGCTCCGGACACCGCCAGCCCGGCACCTGCCACTGCAGCTTCTCCCGCGGCGGCGGCCACATCCCTTCAAGTAATACTCCGCTACAGCCCACGCCAGGCAGTTCCCGCTCCACGAGTACTCTCTTTTTCTGCAAATGGGGTTTTGCAAGCACGTCCTTTAAAGGAGGGAAGCGGTGGGCACGAAAGGCGAGACACACATATAGCAGGGCAAGGGGGTGCGTCACTTACCGCTGTCCAGCGAGCACTGGAGACGAGGGGAGAGCGCCTGGACTCGGCAAGCGCGAGTGCGAAGAAGCAAGAAAGGGCGCGAGGGGGACTCGCGCGCAGTGCAGCTCCCCGTTACCGGCTAGGGCCGGATTGGCCGGCCTGCCAACATAAGAGGCGGGGCCAAAAGAGGCGGCGGCCGTAGGAAAGGGCGGTATTGCTCGCTCTTGGGCGGAGAGGCTGGACTGCGGGCAGAAAGTGCGGCTGTGGCGTGGCGGGAGAGCAAAGGAGGGGGTGCGGTCGGGTCGTATTTCGAGGCGGGCAGACTCTACGGGTACGTCCGCAGAAGGGAGAATTGCAAGTCTGCTCTCTTCCGACTCCGACGAGGTGCTGCAGAGGTGAAGGAAGTGGCCTGCTGACGGACCTCTCGCCGCCTGCCGTGAAAGTCTCTCAAAAGCACAGGAAACTTAACGGGTATCCTGTCTGGCGTGCGCCGCGCAACGGGCTGGCCCGGATTAGGTGGAGGTCCTGGCTTCAGTATGAAAGGGGAGGCTAGCATTGCAAGAATGGGGCCAGTTGCAAACTACGTCGGAACCAGAACATCCAGGCCAACCCAGTGTCCCCTCCTCTGGAGACTGACCCTAGCTTGTCCCTAGTCCACAATGTAAAGAGTCTTAAACTGAGCCTTCCTGTTCGAGAAGACTGGATTTTCCACTCTACCCGACAGGGTCCCTCCAGGCACAGCAACGTAGAAGGGGGGGGGAGCGTCATTTCCTCGTCTTAGGCAGATGGGGTCAGGTGTGTTTCGGAAATGAGAAGGTATAATCAGGCCTCTGGAATCCACTATGCCATTGACCAATCAGTGGCCTGAAAATGCTGGCATTCAACCCACGAGGAATTGGTGTTTGAGTAGCAATGTGCTGGGAACACAGAACGGAGCAACCCGGTTTATGGTGGCAGCCCTTTTTCTGTGTTTTTGATTTGAGACCAACCAAAAGGCCCATGTACTGATTGGACAGGGGAAGAATTGAAATCCCAAACATCTGTGGGTTTTTAGGATTAGAAAAGGCTGCTGGATAGACCAGACACTCTGCTGCAACACTGTTTTAAAATAAATATTGTTTTATTAAGTGTCTCTATTAAGTGCTTCCTATTCCCGACTTCTCTACAGTTACATCAGTACTGTAAAACAGAAAAATCATTTACAATTTCCTTGAAGGAAGGCAAAATGAAGCTAATGAATGCCACCCAGTGAATTGGGGCTGAACTGAGAGTCTGCTGCTATTAGCCTAAGCAGTTAACAGCTTTCTTCATGATTAAGTTGATAGGTAGTGAAGGGAAGCAGGGTTGGTATGAGCCAAATGTCAGGAACAGAAGGAATTTTGCCCATGTTCAGTTACGCTAAGGTAGAAGCTCCTTGATTGCCAGAAAGCCATTATCATGCAATTGCTTTGGCTTCACCTAAAGAATTTTACAGTGAATCCAGACAAAATTGTCTTCTATTTTTTACCTTCCTGTGTTTACACACTAAGTCATCTGACTTTCTTGTTTACTGCAAGAACCCAAGGAGAGCAAGTGCTCCTCCTTCAGTGCTAGGAGCTGTCCACTTGGAAGCACTCTGTCTGTAATAGAATTGCTGTAGTTCACTTGCTTGCTATATGGTTTCCTCATCAAACTGTCATGGGGTTTTCCCATGTTTTTCCATCTCTTTTCCCTGGCATCCTGTTTGATTTTATTGGAAAACTAGATTTCATCTTTCCTAACTATTAAGTTAAAATGCTATTTATCCATCCATGAGTCAGCAGAAAATAAGGTCAATGTGACATTTGCAGTCTCCATTCTCATTCTGTGCTTGCCTCTACTGTGCCTCCTCATAGTTTCTTGTTGTCAAATGATATTGTGCTAATTAATGTGTCAGTCATGATCAGCAAGTTGTTTTTCCCCTTTGCTTTTTTTGCCATCACTCCCCCCCCCTCAGGATGTCACCAATCAGTAGAAAATATCCATCAATGAGGCCACTGCAACATGAAGGGGATGAGTCAGACTTGGGGCTCTTCCTGTCTGCTCTAAACTGGTTTGTCTACCTCTCCTCCTAAACCCCACTTGGTGTCCTTTAAATAAATAAAAATAAATAAAGAACCATGTGGAAAGGCATGGAACAGAAATAGTCCAAAGAGGAAGGAGGCAAATAGGCCCTGTAGAATAGGACAATTGAAGCTGACTAGCTGGTGGGCAATTATTGTCTTGCTTCACAGGGAATGTTAGGGGTGGAGAGTGGTTGAAACTGACCAATTAGCAACCACAGCCCAGTTCAACTGATCTCACTTTCTAATGGCTGGCAAAGCTTTATGGATTTTACATACCATGAAGCCATGGCAGTATGGTGTTGGCTTAAGCAGGAAAGATCTGCTTTCTGGCATACTTTAGGTTGTTTCTGCCATGGGATGGGCATGAGATAAGGACAACTTCCCTGAGAGAAGATTGGATTGTCAATACATAAGGATGCTTCATTAAACTGGGTTAAGCTGGCAGCGGAAATAGAGCTAAAGTGTCTTGAATTCTAGAATTCTGCATTTTAGAATTCTAAAATCCTCTGATATAATACACAAAGCGAAAAATAGAATAATGAAAATAAGGCTATAGTACAGAATGAAGCTAGAACTAGTTATTAGATTTATCGTTGTGTGTGGACAAATGTTAGTTGTGCAATAGTCACCTGAAAATGGGTGATCTAAAAGTAGTGTACGCGTTATCTTGTTATTCCTGGAAATATATATATTTCCAGAAGTATTTCATTGTAGTAAAAGATAATGTGGCTCTTATAATACTTCCGGTCCTTTCAATTATATTTTATCCAATCTTGATGCAACTCAGATTATGGGTTCATTAGTCTCATGAACACATTGTTCCATTTATAGTGTTCCTTAAATGATTTAATTATCCACATTACAAGAGACAATTTAGTTCAGTGACTTTCAACCTTGGTGACTCACAGCTTGAATGTTTCTGAATAAGGAAACCGTTGGTTCATTCTTATAAACAGGTGTGTATTTCTCTTGTACAGCTGCTACAACATCACAATAAGAGTTTCCATTGTAAAGGTTTTCTTCATAATAAAACTACTACTACTACATTTTCCCAAATCTTATTTGCAAAACACAACTGCCCTTCAGAATTAGGACACTACCATAGCAACATGCTGTCTAATAATCTGTTTGGAAAGTAGGTTGGCATTAACTGAACTACAGGACTTGCACAAGAAGGTAGGGCAAAGGTATTGAAATTGTCCTGTGTACTTCCTTGATAAGTTACGTTAATAGGTTTATCTGCATGTTTGATAATATGTAAAAGCTGTCCTTTGCCCTTTAATGTGATTAAAAAGTAACACTAGAGCTATTGCATATTGTGTCTACTCCAGTGGATAAAAAGGTTAAGACAACACATCAATAGTTATATGGCAGAGAACTCTTGGATTGGCAAATATTGCAAAATTTTATGCAATATTATGCAGGATGAATTATCTTGTTAAAATATATTAAAAAATCACTCTAGAGACAATGAATACATGCCTGACAATCCTTAGGCTATACCTTGGGTCTTTAAAATCTTGTGTTTATATAGGCCTGAGGCCATAATTATATTTTGTCAATACTGCATTATACTTTTAATACAGAATGGCCTAAGTTGTTCTTGGGTTACTGTTCTTTGATTTCAAAACTTCTGATATATGACTGGAGACAAGAACAGTTCATTCTGATCAAATCTGGTGGAATAAAATTTCTATTTGCCCACATGGCTGGCATGTGCATAAGCTGAGCTTCTGCTGAATTTGTTGGGTAAAAGGAAGAACTGTATGGGAAGATGCCTCCATGTAGATGCCACCACCATTTCATGCTCTGAAATGCCTCTACCTCATGGTTCAGTAGCTTTTTCAGAAAGGAGCATCATTATGTGATGGCATACAATGATACAGCCCTCCTTATATTAAAAAAAAAGTTGAAAACTCATACATTCCTGAAATTACACACATTTTTGGTGACCATGTATATTTTTGCACATTTTCATTTGAATATTGTACTCATAAGATTTCATGCCAGAATTCAAAAAGTTATCTAGAGCTACAGAAATTGGGCAGTGCTCAATTTACTGAATCAAAAGTACAACTTTGTGAGATTTGGCAGTTTCGTAATATGACTATTTACATTTCTTTAAAATTTAATCATGGGGATTGGCAGATATCACCATGCCCTACATTCTGTGAAAGGTATCAGTTCCTGCACTCACAACCGAAGACATCTAGGAAGCCTTGATCCAAGGCATCAGCTTAACTACTGCTTTCCTGCTAATGTTATCGTAGAACCAGGGGTTGGAGCGGCCCTCTTCTAAAATAAATGACATCCCTTCTGAGAAATTACTAGGTACAGTGGAACCTCGGGTTACGAACGCTTCTGTTAACAAACTTTTCGGGTTACGACCAGCTCAGGCCGCAAAATTTT